GGGGGGGGGCAGGGGGGAAACAACTCCGGAGACAAAGGGACGGTTACCTGCCAGTTTGTCATGATCAGTTCGGCGGTTCATGGTGGTGGGTGGTTTTGGTTGTTTCATGAGAGCTTGTGTTCCAGCATGTGGTAGAAAGGCTTCCGCGTAGGGGCTTGTTTGGTTGGATGTATATGTTCCGTTGGGTATGGCGTTGGCGAAATTGTAATCGAAGAGTAGGTCACCGAGTGCATCTTTGCTGATTTTGTCGATGACTGGTCTGAAGAGTTGGGCGAGAACTTTGCGGGCTTGAATGGTTTCCTTCATGCCTTCTTCGAGTGCGGAGGTTGTAAGTCCTTCTTTAGTGAGTCGGGTGAGTAGGGGGTCTGATGAGCCGAGGAGCACCTGAAGGAGTCGTTGGCGATCTTTTTGGCTGAGTGTTCCGGAGCGATTCACTACGAGTTCTAGAACGAGACGGACCTCGCGGGTATGTCCGGTCCGGATCATGTTGACGAGTACACTGTCGACATGCGAGACACCGAAGGTTAGCATTCGTGCAAGTTGCTCCAACCGGGTTTCCTCGACGTCATTTCCATGAGGCATGAGCACTGCTTTGGCACAGTCGACGATGAACTGAACCAAGAGAGTCAGTGTTTCAGATAAGAAGACTAGTGCGCCGCGCACAATTGTGCGCTGATGTCGCTTGAGCACTTTCTTGGCATTTAACGCGTTCTCCAAAGTCTCGTACGTACCCGATAGGTCGCCCACAATCGCCGCCATAATTGCCGCACACGTCTCCTTTGGCGGATTCGGGGCCTGAATGAAACGCGCTATGTTCAACTTGCAAAAAGCGTGTGCCAACACATCGTCCAGCGCCAACGAGCTCAACACTATCCGTAACGCTACCTCGTCGTCCGCCCAGATGCCCGCCAGAAACGTCTCCGATTGTCGCAAGGCGGATGCAGTGGTGCCCGAGTCAGACTTCCGTGCGAATGTGTCCTCCTGGATTCGGTAGCCAGCGGTGGTTAAGGCCTGCACACCGTCCCACCGTTTGGCATGGAAGGCCTGACTCAACTGGAAATGCAACGAGGCCTGGTTGTAAGTTAACACCGATGGATGCAAACTGTGCTTTAAATACTGCTGTCGATAGCACAGTAACAGCCTCTCCTTGAGTAACATGACACTCCGACCTAACAACCAACCTTTCTGCCCGCACGCAACCTCCCGTTCCAACATCAACTTCAACTCTGGCGGCGAACAAAACGACTCCTCCGCCGCCGGAGCCGCCGCCGCCGGCTTCGCCGTCTCTCGAACCTCCGGCGCGGGAATTGTGCTCAAACTCGCCGCCACGCCTTCCCCAAACTCCGCCGCACCCGACACGTAGTCCCAACCCATCACGCGTTCGACTCTGCACCCCCGGACTTAGCCACCGGGACCCGTCGACCAGGACCCCCTGACCGGGACTGGAACCTCCGTAGCGGGACTTTCATGAGTGCGATACCCATACGGTCAGATCTCCACCGCTCTATTCTCCCCCTCCCCTTCCTCCTCAGGCGGGAGCAAAGCCGTTAGAACCTCCGTTCTGAGCCTCAACGACCGGATCAGAGCGCGGCCCGCGGCTTCGTCATGCTTCCATGAGACCAACAACGCACCACACTTCGCCCGTGACGCAGTCGGACTTGCCCCCGACTGGTCTTCTTCAGTAACTTTTGTGGTGCCCTCTGGTAATTCCGAGTGCGGAATCGAACCTGGTTTCTTCTCGAGCTTTGGGTTTTCCGAGTGGGGATTATTCCCTGCAGTGGTGCCAACGGGAGCCGCCGTAGTGGTGCGGGAGCCGGCTCGGGTGGGATAGCATACACCGGGAATTACTGTATGGCCGGAGCGGTTGATAGTTTCCATGGTTGTCGCAGCCTCGACTCGGAGGAAGAAGTTCTTGTCGAAACGGACGCCGTAAGTGGTTTCGATGGTATGGATGAGGCGACTGGAGCAAAAGGGGAAGTCAAGTCGGCGATAAATCCCATGAAATGTAGCTTGGCAATATGCCTTCAAAATAGATTCCTCTAACACACTTAGAAGCGGATGTCGTCGTACACAACACTTAACGAACTCTTCCACACACATTTCCCTTAACTCATATAACAGTTGAGTACAACAACTACCCAACAACTCCTTTGCACCAAAACCAAAACATAAAGTGTAACTCAACAGACACAAGTCGTACTTGGTTAGCAACTACAACATATCAGCGTCATGGTGATAAGGTGATAATGGTGGTAAGGTCATGGTGGTAAGGCAATGGTGGTAAGGTAATGGTGGCACCGTGAGTGTAATATATCAGCGTGGCAAGTTGAAGGGCATTTGGGCGGCTTTGCAAAGGTAGTTGAACGACTGGGGGGGG